CTGCAGTTGTCCCCAACAGGGATGGTGAGTGACTGAGTGAGTCTGAGAAAGTAACACAGGAACCTTCCCATTGCTCTCCTTCCTTGATGATAAGCCATACACTAGAACGTTCGTTACAAGGAGCCAATTTACAAGTTATGTGTCCAGCCGGTAAAGCACTAAGAGAGAGAAGGATGCAGTGCTTTGATGTAATTCAACAGGTATCCTGTGCTCCTTTCACCCTCCTTCCTACTTATCTTCATGCACGTGCCATTAAAATATATTAAAACTGACTGATGCTCATCACTCCCAACATAATGATCAGAGTTGCTTCTTCAAAGGAACATGCCTAGGACAAGGTTGTTCTTATCTGGGGGTCCCACTTGTAATACACAAGACCCAGCTGGGTGAAGGCACTGTCATTATAGATATATTCAAGTCCCATGCTCCCACTTTGCAGAGGCTCAAGATCTTCTAGTTACCTACAGGTGGGCAGCAGTAGCTGATTGGAGAGGGTCATCTCACTTGACCCTCCTCCTGAAACAGGGCTACAATTGATAAATCACCTGTATTTAGTGTAGGGTTTTGTATTAGTTTTTTTGTTTTTTATCAATCACAGGTACAGACAGAACATATACCAAAAACTCCGCGGAAAAGCCGTGAATGGCCCAGTCTGGACCCCCTGTTCAACAAGAGTACACATTTCAATCGACTATTGGCGAAAGATCTGGTCTGAATTTTCTCAGCGGACCAAAGCTGACTTTGGTAATGCAAAAATTGACACTCCAGTCATCTCACTTAAAAGAGGTGAAGAGTTGGCACATCTGTATACAGAAAAATAAAATGGTTCAAACTAATAGCATTGCGGCATTATTCTGTCTTTTTTTTATGGCTTGCTTAATTTACCAAGTAGGAAAGAATATATTTTCTCCCCATTTAAAAGTTAGGGACTTGTCTGGAATGTGCAAATGCCCCTTATCCCATCTGTACACCGTGACAATGCCAGTACATTTCTGGCATTTTTGAGTGATGAAGTATTCCAAATTACTCAGCAGATTAGGATAACAATGCCATTTTTATAATTGGGGATTGTGAGGAAATTATTAAGAAATGTCCAGTCTTGGGAATAAGGCTGTAAGCCCCCACGGCCTTATTAAAGCAAAACCTGAGCAGTATCTGAGAAAACAAGGAGGGTATTTATAAAGGACTGTGTAAATCAAATGACTGCACAATGCAAATGATGTCTACAACTAAAGTAATCTATCAATCAATTTACAAGGTTTTTGTCATTTGCAAATTACCCCTGCTAACCATGTGTACATTCTCACTTGCTATAGCATTAATAATTATCCAGAGCATTCCTATTCCAAACCCTTCCCTGTCATTGAAACCTAGATGCCCAGGCCATATTTAGCAGCACGGCACCCAAGTGTGTGTATGTATATTCGGAGGGCTGTCCCGTTACCCCAAATAGTGTGCATGGGACCTGTGTGTGCCTTCCTCTACACGGTGACTATGTGCGCCTTCCTCTTCATGGGAGCTGTGTGTGGCTTCCTCTACATGGGAACTGTGTGTGCCTTCCTCTACATGGGAGCTGTGTGTGCCTTCATCAATATGGGGACCGTGGAAGTCTATGATTGGTTGAACGTGACGGACATGTGATCCCTTTTGCAACCAGTCATTACTAACCAATTTAGTGAACTTTAAGTGATTTATATAGGTGTACAAGCTCCCACTTAATATTGTTAGTGAATAGTGTTAGTGCCCCTTATCCCCATCTCTATATTATTATTTGTGTTCCTATCAACTCTACTTTAGTGTTCCTTTAGTGTCTTCTCCCTTTCCCCTGTTGTCCGAATCCGCCCAGACAGATGCTCTACCACCAAATCCTTACCATCCATTACCTCTTCCCCTGGAACCCCCCCCCCCATGCACCCAACATTCCCTCGAGGCTCAGTGGTGCCGGTGTTTTCCATTTCTTATTGTATTACAATTTCATCTCCTTCCTTTTCCTATATTTTTTTTTATATTTAACATTTCCGTATTGCTGATTCTACCCCTAAGGCATATTTCTAACATATATAGGAACAATATAACTCCGTTTCTTTAAACTCCAGCCACTTTCCCCATACCTGGGAATATTCCCCATATTTATCCTGTTTCATCTTTACCATTTCTTCCATCAATCTTACTGAATCCAGCTTGCTAAACCACTCAGAGATTGATGGAATTTTAGTTGTCCCCCAATACCTTGGGATCAAGGATTTAGCCGAGTTTAGCAAATGTGGTATCAGGGACTTTTTATACTTCTTCACCGTATCTGGTGTGAGGTGGAACAAGAGCCTCCACGGATCTAATGGTAAGTGCACGTCACATATCTGCTTAATAATACCCCTCACTAGTTCCCAAAACGGTCGTATCTCCGGGCAGTCCCACCAGATATGTGAAAAGGTTCCTTCACCCCCACATGCCCGCCAGCTATCTGGGTCATTTGCTTTGTTCATTTTGTGCAGTCTCTGTGGGACCTGATACCACCTAGCTAAGAATTTATAGTTCATCTCCATAGTTTTTATATCTATGGTTGTGGTCATAGCTAGAGCTATTATTTTACGTTGCTACTCTATTGTGAGTGTTTGTCTAAACTCCCTTTCCCAGTTATCCAGGTATGTGGGTGGGTTCACATTTTCTTTAGATAGGAGTGCTTTATACATCAATGCTAGGCAGTGTCGTGGTATCCCCTGTCCCCCTAGGATGGACTCAAACTCTGTTATATCGCTTCCTACTCTCAGGGGCTTATGAAGCATTTGGATAAAATGCTGTAATTGCTGGTATCTCCACCAATCCAAGGGGTATACTCCCCATTCCTCTCTCAATTCCCCCAACGGCTTAATTTCTGTTCCCCTCAATATATCTCTAACTTTTAGGTTCGGAGATGTACTCCATTTTATGTAAGCGGAGTCGTACTTTCCTGGTGGGAAGTATTCGTTCCCCAGTAGTGGTATAAGGACCGTATATTTTTGTATCCACATTCATGAGGGAAATTGGCCGATAGCTTGCGCACAGACTGGGATCCTTTCCCTCTTTTCCAATCACTGTTATGTGTGCCTTCTGGGCTTCTAGGTGCATTTTAATTCCTTCTCCTATTGTGTTTACATACGCACAGAACTGCTTATCTAAGATGGCCTGAAATCTCTTGTAATACAGTATAGTAAATCCGTCCGGTCCAGGACTCTTCCCTGTCTGGGTTGACTCTACTGCCCGTTTAACTTCCTCTAGGGTAATATCTTTTTCCAGTGCATTTAGGCTCTCCCCCGGTACTCTCGGCAATCTGGCCTGTGTCAGGTATGTTGTTATTTTATCTCCTTTTTCTAGTCCATCTCCTGATATGCCCTGTTTAGGGGATTTTTCTATATGATAAAGTCCCTGGTAAAAGTCGTAGAATGTCTCTGCAATTTCAGTCGTGGAATGTACTACTGTCCCAGTTTTATTTTTAATTTTGGATATGTATGTAATGGATTGTTTGGCCTTAAGTGCTTTCGCCATAAGTCTGCTAGGTTTGTTCCCCATCTCGTAATATTGCCTTTGTGTTACAGTGAATGCCCGCTTAGTATCTATCTCCATTATGGATTTAAGCTGTTCTCGCTTTAGTGTCAGTTCCTTCAGTGTCTTTGGATCTAATGTTGTTTTATGTGTTGTTTCTAATTGATGGATCGTTTCCAATAGGGTCTGTATGGCCCGGGTTCTCCCTTTCTTGCGATGGGCCCCTATAGCCACAAGCTTCCCCCTTATCACTAGTTTATGCGCCTCCCAGATACTTACAGCTGACATGCCCTCTGTTATGTTCTCCCTAAAATAGTTTTTCAAATCCTTTTCCAGTTCTTGGATAACCAACGGATCATGTAGCAAAGAGTCATTCAGCTTCCAGTTATATTGCTTACCCCTCTTATTCTCAATATTCATAGCTAGCTCAACAGGAGCGTGGTCTGAGATTGTCATAGGTAGAATATTCACTGATCCCACTTCCTCTATTGCCACATGATCTATCAGTATCCAATCCAGTCTTGAGTATGTATCGTGTAACTGGGAGTAGTATGTAAAGCCGCGTTCCTCTGGATGTAAAATTCGCCATATTTCAACTAGTTGGCTTTTAAATAGCTCCCTTTTCAGACGTGTTTCCACCCACACCGCAAGGGTAGTTTTTGATTTTTAACCGGATATAGGTTGAATATGCACTATAATATACCCACATCCAGATTGATAAACGCTGAATGTCTGTTATCTGCAAATGTACATTTTTAACCTATTTTCATTATCTAAAACAAAAACTATATTTCTTATTTATCCTGCAGGAATATGCAAGGGAAGATGATCATCAAACAAAGGCCACCATCACCATGCAATGAAGATTGACCAATGATTTTACATTTCGTCATTCCTGCTTAGTGATGTCGTCATTTAGTAATGCTATAGATGAATGGAGTACAAGAAGCACAAGTGGCATTTCTGCTCTTAGACATCAGCTAATCTCGAGTGAGTTTCCAGATAGGCTGACTCCTGTAAATGCTATGGCTGCCATAGTGGACTCTGCGTATAGCTCATTTTCTGGTGGTTCCTATGTTGCTGATTATCAGACTTCATTTAAACATGGTATTTGTCATTTGAACAATGAACAGGTTTCTTACATGGACTCTGAATATGTAAAGGCTATTTATAATCCTAGTGTAATAGAACACAATCATTTGCAGCAACATCCACATTGTGAAGATTCTAAAGAAGAAGCTAACCGTGGCCCTGGAGGTCACTTTAGTCAAAAAACTAAGAGGAGTCCCACAAGCAACAGCAGCCTTTGTTTACCTGAACACAAAATAAGCAGACCCCAAAGTCAAGCTCACAGCCCTCTTTGGGTAAGAGACTCTTTGCAGAACAAACTGAGCCAATCTTGTGCTCTTTCTGGCAATATGGAAGGAAACAGCCAGACTCACTTTTCATGCTCAACATTATTGGTTTCTTCTGAGGATATGATGGCACTTAGTGAGGTCAGTAGCACTTGTGATGAAAACTACCAAAGTTCCCAGACTGTCAAATCAAATAAAGACTGTTTTCAAGGAATGGATATCCATACAGAAAAACCATTCTCTCTAGAGAGCGAAGAATACACCCACAATAATCACTTTGATTCAACTGTTGATAATCCCCAAAGGGAAGGCAAAACCAGTAAAAGCACAAGACGTTCTTGGAATGAGTTTGTGTCAGACAAACTTCGTGGGTATAAGAAAAAAGCTGGTTCTTGGAAACCAGCTAAGGAGGTTAATTGTTATGACGGAACAAAAAGTGAAGAAGTAGAGAAACTGGCACTTAATCAACAACAGAAAGAACAATATCAACTCCTAACTCAGAACACAAAGGATATGGAGTGTGACAATCTTGGAAAATACGATATCAAATACAAACGTCCACATACAAGAACCAGCCAGATAGTTTATGGTGTGCACATCGATGATTTATATGAGCAACCTTTAGCATCGCTAAATCGTGATGATCTTCTTGACATTCCTAAAGCCCATAACCTTAGGAAAGATGCAACCATAAAACCTATTCCTTTACTTTCACAGAAGCTAGATGTTAGGCCTCAAAGTTCTAACTTCTGTGATTTACCCAGTGAAAAAATCACCAAGGCCTCAACACCAATGCTTTATCATCTTGCTTGTAGCAACAACAGCTCTTTGGCAATGCTGAACACCTCAATACAAACTAAGCAACTAGACACATGTAAAGAATCTAATACCTTTCAGAAGAAAGGTCACTTTTCTGCATCTCGGGTGGCTGAACCTCAGCAACCACTCCATAAAACAAAAAGCCAGTCACAACTTGATGAAAACCTTGGAAATGAATTCACTGATTGTGATACCTCAAGAGGTCTAACCTGTTCAGCTGAGGAAAGTTTTATGCTTGATTACAGGGAGAAACTTAAGATTGCCCAAAAAAAAGTTTTAAGAGAAACCTCTTTCAAAAGAAGGGACTTGCAGATGAGTTTACCTGTTAGGCTAAAACTCAATCCTCCTAAAAGACCTTCAGTTGACCATATAAGATCATATTCTTTATCCAGTCCAAATGAAGAGGCTACATTTACACAACCAAACACTTCTGCAGATAAGGGTCACAAAAAAGATGAGTGGGAGAAGGCTACGGTTTTAAGAAAAGGAGGAAGGAAACGACTGACAAAAGAGCAAAGGAAATTATGTTATTCAGAACCAGAGAAGCTTGACCATCTTGGCATCCATAATTTGGGCTTGGCTTGGAACAATGATGGTTCAGTTCAAAATAAATCAGGGGATCACTATAGGATGAAATCTCTGGATAAAGAACGAACCCTTTCTTCTTCAAATATTTCAAAGACAGAGTTAAAGCAAATCCAGCACGATGCACTTGTTGAGTATATGGTGCGAAAAGCAAACCAGAGGCCCAGCAGCTTTCATCAGTCCCATGTGCAAAAGACATCAGGAAAACAGTCCTCCCCTGAATGGAAAAGTATAACAAATGAAACACCATGCAGTGATGAATCCTTAAAATATATTCACAGGAGATCAACAGGAGCGTCCTCTTCTTATGATGCTACAATGACATGGAATGACAGATGTTTAAAGCTGTCTCTTTCAGGAGAACAGACACATTCAGCAGACTCAGTGGGGGAAAAGGCCACTTATTTTGACCAATGTACTATAGACAACAGCAAAAGTTATTCTAAAGAGTTTTCCACCTCTGGCTGCCAGGAAAGATTAAAGGCAAGTAAACATACTCAGGTAACATGTTCGTTTTCTTCTAGTTATGTTGCAGGTATATTTTGTACCATATTAGGAAATTAGTTCTTTCTCATCATTGGAAAACAGCCCATTGATCCTTGTTTTGTATTGTGATAAAAAGTGGATGGACCATTAAAATGTACACTTCAAATGAATCAGCAGAATACTAGTCAGCATTGCCAAATCATGGGACTGTTTTGAGTAAAAATCTCTTTCTCACCAAAAAGAGTCAACACATTCAGGTAGTGTGTCTCTAAGCAAGCATGCTAAAGGAAATGGAACCCTTGGTATTTGGCTTCTATGAGCATTGTGGGTGTTTCATTGCATTACAGATTGCAGAGAGTATATTGTTTTAATCAGGTTGACATAGAGGGGAATTTATCAAAACTGGCGCAAACAATATGGGGCAGTTGTGTATGGCAACCAATCAGCTTCTCTCTTTCATGTTCAAAGCTTAACTGAGCAAACTGAAAAGAGAAGCTGATTGCAAGCCCCCCCATGTGATAGCAGTCAAAGTAAAGTAAAAAAAAAAACAGTTTTTAAAATTAAAATGAAATAAAATAAATCTAATAATAATAATAACGCAATCTGTAAACTGGGCATGTTGGGTATCGTTTTACTCGTTGTAACCTCATCTTTTATATTTCATTTAAAAAATGGGTAATTTGTTGTGTTTTGGGGCATTTAATTAAATTTGTCACTAAATTTTGGGGTTTAATAAAGGAGTTGCGCTAATATTGCGCAACATAAAAATTTTCAACTACCACCATTTTATTCTATAGGGTCTTGGCATTCAGAAAATATATAATGTTGGGGGGTTTTACGTCATTTTCAGGCCTAAAATGTGGAATATAACATGGGTGCAAAAAATGAAAAAAGGGCCTCAGTCATGAAGGGGTTAAACCCCATCGTTGCTAAATTCCATTAAATACCTTTTCTCTTTTCTAAAATGTATAACAACTGATCAATGACAATCCAAGCCATTAAATGTGGGGCTGTCACTTCTTTAACGTGTATGTCTGAGTGAAAAAGAATATATAGTACATCTCTCTTGAAGTAATTGAGGTACCTTGTCTGTCTAAAAAGCTGCAAATACAGAAAAATATTTGTTATCCTACCAGAAATCCAGTGAACCCCTTACTTCCTGTACTGAGCTTACGCACGCTGGCCATATCATGCTGAAGTACCAGACACCAATGAGCCAATTTAATGGTGTAGTGTGGGGGGCAGAGGAGATGCAGGGTTTATAGGGGGAATTTTGGAGGATGCAGGGTATATAATTGGGGGGAGGGATTCTGGACCGTGCAGGATGTATGGTGGGGATTCTGGAGGGTGCAAAGGTGTATGTGGATATTCTAGGTGCAGGGTGTATGGAAGGGGTTTCTGAAACATGCAGGGTGAATGGGGGGATTTTCGAAGGGTGCAGGGTGTATGGCCGGTGTTCTGGGGGATGATGGGTGTATGGGGACACCAGAAGAAAACCTGGAGGTTGCTGTTGCAGCCACTGACACCAGTGATGGGGGGTTACAATTACTGCCAATCACACAAATTTTTTTTTCTTGATACCTCCAAGGCATGCCTCCTAATTTTGCATGCATCTTGGTGCCTTACTATCTTACTGTATGTACCTGCAGTTGCCTGCACATAGCTTCAACAGATATGTGCAGAATTCCCATGAGCCCTGAAACCCAGGGTGCTCTGTTTTAAACTCAACAGGCTTGTTGGTACTTTGACCATTCCCTCCAGTGCCCGTTCACTGACCTGAAGCGAGGTGCAGAAGGGCTGGGCCAAAGCTGAACCTTTTTTTTGCATGATAGAGCTTTTAGTCTACAAAGGAGCTATTATTCTCGAAGTGCCCTATCAATGTTTTGGTTTAGTGCAGGTACACTTTAAACCAGTGTAGTTCACATGGATATAGTCACCAGCCCTTTCCTCTTAAAGTAGCAATGCGCCTCACTACTAAATTCTAAAATTCTTCTGCTAGAGGTAAAAAGTCATTATTTGGGCCTGGTGGCTTGCGTTTGGCAGCTCTCTACAAAGTGGGGGTTCCTCACAAGTGGGGGGCACAAGATTGAGAAATCCATGTGTAATAGAACCAATATGAGTGCCAAAACCACATTTTAGGAGTCCACAGTCTTTTAATGATGCCATCATATAGCAGCAGGAAGCCAACAGCTTATTATTTTTCTCATACGCATGTTGTGGACACTGGCACTAACACTCACTGGATTTTGTTTTGCCCATCTCCTGCCATAGTTCTGATTGTTTGTTTAGGAGCTTTGCTCTGGGCCCATTAAGTATTTCAACACATTGTTTAACTCTGAATTGTGGGATAAGTAAATATTGTCTAAATACAAGAGTCAAACGTGTTCTTACTTAAAGTGACACTAAACTCAAAAGTTAAATCTCAAACATACATTCAAGTACTCCAACTATCAAAAAAAAATGTATCTTATTTGTGTATCACTCAGCTGTAGATCCTCAAATCATTTCTGAATTGGTGCTGACATTGTTCTTCCTTCTGGAGCGATGGCTACTTTTGTTCTCCATTGTCCCTGTGTATGTTGTAAAGTAACCACCGCTCCAAGCTCGCTCACCTGATGTACTACAATCTCAATACAAATTGGTAAACCAAACATGAGGTTTTAGTCCATCACGGGAGTGAGCTTGGAGCCGTGGCTACTGTACAACATACACCGGAACCATGGGGAACAATAATAGCCACCCTCGAGGGAAGGACAGTATCGGCAAAAAATTCAGAGATGATTTGAGGATCTACAGTTGAGTGATGCACAAATAAGATACATTTTTGTTATTAGTTAAGGTAATCAAATGCATTTTTAAGATTTAACTCCAGAGTTTAGTGTCACTTTAATCTTGGTGTACTTTTTAAATTTAATTTAAATATATTTCTCAATAACCACAGAGTTTTGCTTTAAGCCCTAACAGAGTATGGTCTGGTCCCCGAAATGCATTGGCTTCTTGTTGCATTTTGGTAAAATCAATAAAAGACTTTAGACTTCTTAAATGTGGTTTTGGTGCTCTCATTGGTTCAATTACACGCGACACTCTAAAAGATGTTACTCAGAATAATAGAAAATGCATTCAAAGATTTGAACCTTTAGGGGAATACTCAACTGAGCACATTCTCTGTGACTGATAACCTGTTTATTCTGTTGTGCATATTTACAATACTTCCCTTGCATCTGTTTTATCGCTGGGAGTTTGCAAAGACAAAGACCGCTATCAAATGGAATTAAAAAAGTTCTTGGCTTGGTGGCCACATGTCAGGGATGCTAAAAACGTGTGAAGCCACTGTGCTTTCAGCTGTTCACTGTACTGCAGATTAATATAGAAGTAGCATCATAGCCCTTATTAGAAATATTACATCACATGCAGCTACTATCAAATAGCTGGCACTTATGTTTACATTTTGAAATGAATCCTAACTATTTTAAGAAAATATTCTGCAAAATAAAGTAGTATTAAACTCTCAAACTTCTTTCAATAATTAATCCAGATTAACCCCTTCATGACTGAGCTAGTTTTTAGTTTCTGTTCCTAAATGACTGACACACTTTTTAAATTTTTAAATGTTGAGGTGTGTGGTCATTGAGGGGCACTGTAAAGCTTTCTCGCACAGGGCGCCTAAAGGCCTAAGGCCGGCCCTGGTTATACATATTTTGTAGGGCTACAAATTCTTCATGGATTTCAAAGAAGAGGGTACAGCACAAGCACAGGCCCGACAGGCAGAATTTTGACAAGTGGCTTGGCACCACTGACAACTGCCCTCTGTACCTTTTTTTTAATGAATTTCATTCTCGTATGCATAAATGCACTGCTGCAGTGCTAGATATTAAAGTGCAACTAAAGTTTTGGATAGAGTGGAGAGAACACCTATCAGGTTTATATTGCTTTCTGTGTCCTGGAGATCATTATCACAGAGCGGGAAAGAAAATCCAACATTTTGGGTGCTCACCAGAATAGGAATATATAAGA